GTGTAGGGCCCATATTTCTATATTTACAGGTATGTCCCTCACGAATTTCCCATACAGGCAGGTCTCTCGGTTAGTCCTCAGCCAAACAAAATTACGAATCTGTCCCTACCTAGAGTACAGCCTCGTCAGAGATAGGCTACAGGCGACCTGGAACCAGCAAGTCATTGCAGACCTACCCTTCCCCCGAGCGAGGACCTCCGAGCTAGGGGCGTAGGCGTGCAGAGCGTCGAAGGGGCTCTCCCTTCTGCGCAGCCTCATACTTGAGGATCACAGACTTTGCTGTTTTCAGAAGCCCCTTGCGAGTAAACCGGCGATCCTCAGTATGGGGCTGGTAAAGAAACTTCACAAGGTACTCCTTCTCTGGGCCTGTACCATACTCATCCACAACTTCTTCCACCTCATATCCCTTCCCAGGGATCGGGGACCAAATTGTGGAGGCCTGTCTGGAAATGCATCAGCTGGCATAAAAGGCAGCAGCTTAGATGCATGAAAGACAGGGTAGGTTTGTAGATGTAGCGGGACATCTACATGATAGGATGGCCCAAAAGGGTCAGCCCCCACTGTATCTAAAACCTGCCATGGACCCATGTAACGCGGCAACAGCTTAGGCGAAATGTCCTCCTCCCGCGATAGCTCAAAGCTGAGTACCCAGACCCAGTCACCAGCGCGAATGGGGGATGGTCGACGATGCTTGTTAGCCTGCTGGATCATAGCCTTTTGGGCTTTGACCAGGTTAACTCTGGCTCGTTCGATATCCCTCTGGTACTGTCTGGTGAACTCTGCAGTCCCAGGAGTCAGTCTGGGAGTAGCCTTATCGATGATGTCATCGAGAGGCTGCCGTGGTTCACGTCCCCAGTGCAACCGGTAAGGGGTGAACCCTGTGGAGGAGTGTACCGACGTGTTGTACACTAGCTGTGCCCGTCCTAGATGGAGATCCCAATCCTGCTGATCAGGGCTGATCACAGGACGCAGCAACTGAAAAAGAATCTGGTTCATCACTTCAGCCTGCCCATTGGCTTCGGGATGATGACCAAATGTCATGTTCACCCTGGAATGAAGGTAGTCTTTGCAATAGGATTGCCATTCACTGCTGCAAAACCGCAGATCTCTATCGCTGATTATAGAGGTGGGTGGTCCATGGTGAGTAACCCACCTGTCAGCAAAGGCGGCCCGAACGGCCGGGACTCTGGCTTCCTCTGGCAGGGGAATAAACTTTGCATATTTAGAAAAATTGTCCACGCACACCATGACCTGACACATACCTCGAGGGGTAGTCCTCCCCATATCAGTGAAGTCAATAGACACTGACTGTGTAGGTGCTTCAGGGATGGGAAGTGGCTGCAGCAGGCCAAGGGGAGGCCGGCGAACGACCTTATTCCTTTGGCACAACTCACAGGTCTCAACATAGTGCAGCAGGTCTTTCCTCATTTCAGGCCAGAAGAACCGCTGCGACAGGGCTGCTAACGACGTTAAGGCCCCAAATTGGCCGCGAGCATCATGACACTCAGACATCATGAGTGTTCTCAGCTGGCGGTCCTGAGGGATACACAGACGCTCCTCTCCTCTGCTGCAAGTGTACAGCAGCCCTGAAACCAGAATGTACCCTGGTTCAGAAGCAGGATTTGTCTGCAGATTCCTAACAACTGGGCCAAAAGTCGGGTCCTGTGGCAATAGCTGGGCAATGGTCTGACGGGTACTCTCCCCAAAGGCATGAGTGGAGGAGATCATGCAGAGAGCGTCAGGCCTACGAGAAAGGGCGTCTGCTACACGATTGTAGCAGCCCTTCTTGTGTTTCAGTTCAAAGTCAAAGAGATCAATGAACTGAATATAACGCGCGAGCTTGTCATTCAGTTCCCCTTGGGTCTTCATCCACTATAAGGTGGAGTGATCAGAAAAGATCTGAAAATGCCTGCCCATGAGGAAATGCTTCCAGTGCTTCAACGCTGACACTAGAGCATACAACTCTTTCTCGTACGTGGAATCCTGCAACTTCTTGACTTTGATCTCTTTACTCATGTACTCAACTGGCTGCAGACCATGCCCACCATCCTGCTGAAGTACCGCCCCAACCCCATACTGACTAGCATCAGAAGTTAGTACGAAAGGCAAGGTAGGGTCAGGTAACTTCAGAACAGGTGCACGCATCAAGGCCTCCTTGAGGCATGTAAAAGCCTGCTGTCAGTCTGATGTCCAAAGAAAGTGGGTGTCTTTCTTTGTGAGATCAGTCAGGGGTGCAGCGATAGCAGAGAAGTTCTTGACAAACTTCCTGTAATATGATGCAATACCCAAGAATGACCGGACATCATGGACTGTGGTAGGCTGTGGCCAATCCTGAATCGCTGCAATCTTAGGCGCTTCAGGAGCCAATCCTTCCCCAGAGATTACATGTCCCAGATAAGTCACAGAAGTCACTCCAAAGGAGGACTCTTCCCGGTTGATCTTATATTGGGCCTCATGTAGTGCATGGAGAACTAGAGCCAGATGTTGCGCATGGTCCTCGACAGATCGACTGAATACCAGGATATCATCCAGTATACAACTACAAACCTGTCCAGGTAAGGCCTGAGTATGCGATGCATCTTTGTCTGGAACGTGCCAGGGGCATTGCAAAGACCGAAGGGCATGACCAGGTACTCATAAGTGTCGTATCTGGTCTTGAAGGCCGTCTTGTGGACATCGCCTTCAGCCATCTCAATCTGGTGGTAGCCAGATTTGAGATCGATCTTGCTGAAAATTGTGCAGCGCTGCACCATGTCCAGTAGATCATCAATCCTAGGAAGGGGCTCTGTAGACTTCCTAGTGATTTTGTTGAGACCCCTGTAGTCCACACACATTCTGAACTCTCCATTTCCCTTTGGGACAAAGAGAACTGGAGCCCCAAATTCAGATGTGCTGGGTCTGATCCAGCCCTTGCTGGTCAGGGTCTCAAGCTGTCTCCTGTGCTCATCGAGTTCAGCAGGCGACATCCTGTAGATACGGCCCTTGGAAGGGACCGCACCTGGCAGGAGCTCAATCCTGTGCTGGGTCTGCCTATGGACAAGTCCAGTAGGCTCCTGCATCAGGTCTGGATACCGGTCCGAAACCTGCTGAATCGGTGAGGGACACGGAGCAACATCCACACCAGTCTGTTTCACATATGCGACGAACAGACGTGTGTGGGCAGTCTGGCGAGAGAGCTGAAAGAACTCCTGTGCCCTCATACAATAACAACTGTTGACTGAATGGTACTCATCAGCCAGGACACACGGCTGATAGTCCCCTCTACAGTCAGGGAGCTCTACCCTAGGGATCTGTCAGTCGATCCTAGGGTTAGTGGCCTCAAGCCACTGCATGGAAAACACAAGATCAAAGCGAGCATTGGGAAATACATAGAAGTTCAGGCGCTGCCTGACCTTCTCCTGCTTGTCAAAGATAACCGGTAGGTTCTTGACAGCAGATGTAATCCGGACTGTGGAGGAGTCCCCAATTCGGACTTCTAACGGTTGCTGCAAGTTCACCAATCTCCCATCTAGATGCAGCTTGCTGACAGCTTTGGGAGAGATGAAGTTCCGGGTAGCCCCACTGTCTAGCAGGCCTTTGATCCTGGCTCCCAGGATGGAGGGTCGCAGCAAGATGAGGTCTGATTTATGCTTTTTCTTTTCCTGCAAAGACAGGAAAAGATCAGCGAAAGTCTGACTATCATCTTCCTGCCACGTCTCGTCCAGGTCAGGGTCCATGTAAGTGAAGGATCCTGACGCAGCAACTCCAACAGAGTCAGTGAGGGTGGATGCAGAATCAGATCCATCAGAATCTGATTCAGCATAAGTGGAGGGAGCTGCCAAATTCCACTTCCCTCTGCTGGTCTAGTTTTTTGGACTAGTACCAGGTCTGTGAGGCATATGGGGACAGTCCTTCAAAAAGTGGTCCCCCTCGCAGCGAAAATAAACCTCACGGTCCTTCCTCCTTTGCCACTGCCCCTCCTAGATCCTGAGCGCTCTCAAGGGAAGGGTGGAAGGATCCGTGACGTTGACTGGCCAATGGACGTCTCGTGGAAAGTTAGCTCTCTGGGCCTGAGGGGAAGTGGCACGTCCCTTCCCTTTCCCCTTCTGGCTGGCTGAACTCTTGCGGCTGTCCTTGCTGAACTTTCCCTTGAACTAGGCAGCAAGATTCTCACCCAGGGCAAGAACGGCTGCCTCAACTGCTGATCCTGATGCAGTCTCAGATGGAGGACTGCCACGTTGAGATGCATCAGAATCAGAACCTACATCAGCAGCCAACAGAGCGCCTTTCCTCCTGCGCTGTCCCTGGGAGGTAGGCCTCTTCCTTCCTTCAGAAGGAGTCTGAACCTTGAGTCGAGACTCTAGGTCCAGTGCCGCTTTGTCGAAGGACCTCCAGTCCTTATGGCCCTGAGCATACAATGCAATAGAGTAGTCTGGAGGCGCTGCACGCAGGAAATGAGTGAGTTGGTCAGACTCACTCATCTCCAGACAAGGTGTCAATGTCAAGCTCTCAAATAAACTGTAGAGCTTGGACAGAGAGCCCTCAAATCTGTGAGACCCCAGCAGCATAATTTTATCAGCTGCTTTGCGGGCCTGCTCCCTGTCAGCAAACCGGTCTTGCAGAGCCTTCAGCAACCCTGCCACCCCCAGCTGTTGTGCCCATCAATCCATAGCAACATTCTCTTTGGTTGCAGAGGAAGTGCACCATTTCAGTGCAGTCCTCTCCAGCCGGCCAAGAATGGTTCCCACCTTGGTTGCTTTTGGGCATGTGAAGCTGCCCAGGTATGCTTGCATAGCGGTGACCCAGTCTGACACATCCACCTTGGGGTCTTCCCCAGAATACATAGGAGGTGGAGTCAGCTTGGGCCCTCGCTGAACAGATGTACTAGAAGCACCAGAGGGGGTGGATACATGGGAACCAGCAGGTGAAGCTGGACGACTGTGAGGTGGTGTATGATGCGCTGGGGGAAGTTGAGAAGGTTTGGGAGAAGGGGCAGGAAGCTTCACATGCTGCAGAATGCTGTTGACACTCGCAATCAGGAAATCAAGGTTAGCTGGCAGCTTATCAACCTTGCGGTCAATAGTAGAGCCTTGATTCTCGAGTGCGAGAATCCTCTGGTCCCAGTTAGAAAAGTAGGACCTGTTGATGGTGTCTATTAAGAGCACCAGTTCAGCAGTGTCCTTACTGTACTGACTAGATGTACCACTGGTGACAACCTTCTCTACATCCTTGCGTAGTTGTCTCCTTCTCTCCTCATTCCTGCTGGCCTCCTGAGCTTCCGCCATCTCCTGTTTCAACCGCTAGATCTGGGTCTCTGCCTTGAGGCGAGCTTGCTCAGCCTCAAGCAGGGCCTGCTCCAGGGAGAGAGCGGAACCTGAGGAGTGTCAACAGAAGTCTCTCCTCCCTTACTCTTCACTTCAGCGTCAGACATCCCGAACCACTCACACAATCAATTAAATATAGACAGGCAGATACAAAAGGTAAGCAGAGATTGGGATTACACACACACACAGATGTAATCACTGCCACTTGATGAGAAGAGACGTGGTGTGATAAGCAGAAGGGCGTTCAGCCTCTGTAGGTTGCTGAGGGTCACCCTGGGTCAGTTTAGGTCAAAACCAGATAAAATCAGATTTGCGATTTTTCATTCACAGCCCAGAACCCTCATCTGTGTGATTACCCCCAAAATCGTTGTCAGAGAGATAAACAGGATGCAACCTTGGACTGTAAGTAGAGAGATTAGAATAGAGCAGAAAGTCAGTAGCAATTCCCAGAACCCAGTAGTCAACCAAGATGCAGCGGATGACTGATCAAGCTATTTTTAGACTCCTACTACTGACACTGGCACTGTAGGACCCTGTATGCCCCACCCCCACTATAGGTGAGGCGAAGTACACATATCACTGTACCTGACTCAAAACATCAAATCTAGTATAGCGCTTTCAGACACTGACTCTATACTGAATTGCGATTTCAGGGTGACTGACAGACTGAAATTCTAACGGACAGAACCTTAAGTTATGACAAACCCTAGCTGCCCCAGGCACTGGCTATGGCAGCGCAACTTTCCGAATTTCATTATCACTGACATCCAGACCCTGAACTACTCAATTCACAGTGCATACTGAATCGCAATACTCTAATACAGTCTGAGATGCAATTTGAGACAGAGAAGAGGTCAAACAGAGTCAGTAGAATAAGTAGATTGGTAGGAGAAATGGATATGGCTGTCAGGCAGTGCGATTTTCAATTTTTACTGACTACAGACATACAATCCCAGTTTCCCCAGTCTAAATACAACTACCAGACTCGCTACAGAGACTTAAGGAACACACTTACTTCAGGTCAAAACACTGCAGGAAGAAGTTGAACTGGCTATGGTTGCCATCTCGCCAGTTTCTTCCATCCACTGTTCCTGGTGCTCCCACGTTCAAAATCTCTTGAAACTTGGTGATACTGAAGCTCTTGATATGGCGAATAATCCCCACTAGTCAATTCACTGAGCCTGGTCCAGAATTTGCAACTCGACATACCCCCTGGTATCTCGCCACTAGCAGAGTCGCCACTTGGGCTAAAAATAGCCCCTCAATGCCTCCCAGGCCACTGGGCAGTGAGCACTGAATCGCCACCAATCACTCTGTCATACCAATCGCCACACACCCTTCACCAACACCCTACTGAGCGCAACACTGAAGATGAAGTTTCTCCACGAAACCCTACGTCACAAGCTCTCAGGTAGTGATGGCTGCCTCAGTCCATCATCTCGCCACTGTCTGGGTCCGATCTGCTCCGATACCAACTGTTATGAACATGATTGTCTGCTGAAATTTTATCAACACTCACACACAGGAACTCCCGTACACGCCCATACATGCACAAAAGGAAGGGGAGAGGT